CTATTATGCCTATGTATAACGTGTACTGATGCATATTTACATGTTTAGAAGTATTCATTTTGAGTGATCCCAGGAAAGAATTTGTATTGGCTCAAGAATAAGCTTTAAAATTTTAACACTGTGTACAAAGAGGGGGGGGGAAGCCGCGGCTCCCACGGCTCCCCCTGGATACGTCCCTGGTAATAACCATTAACAACCTATGGCAATTGCACATATAATTAGCTCTATCACACGTTTTTGTTTTACAGTTACAGATCAATTATTATTATATTAATATGTATGCTAAAAAGCTAAAATAATGGAAAATGGCAGCCATTTTAAACTGTAATAGCTCAAAAATGTGTACATATTTAGTTAACTGTTGTTGTCATTGTTATAAGTGGGTTTCCAATTGAATACTGCATTTTAATGACATAAACTTACAATATTACTGACAATTTTATGAAAAAATGGCGGCCATTTTGAAACTGCTGGCAACCCTCCTTACGTATGAAAAAAAAATGTTGCACATACTTTTTTGATTTATCAATGTCTACTCTTCATCATATCCAATTTTTTAAAAATATAGCAAAAAAATGTAACCTGATATTGCTACATTTCGGACTGGACTTATTATGTGTTATAGTAGTAGCGGATTCAGGAATTTGAAAGAGAGGGGCTCAAGAAGGAGGGACTGTCACAAGCACACAAACGGGCTGTAAACTCACACAGCACTGTATTGAGAAACAAGCCTCCATAGCCAGAATAGGGCGTAGAACGTGAATTTTGTGTGAATTGGGTTTTTGTGTAATAAATCAAGTATAACTTTTAATCTTACTATTCCTGAAGTTTGAGTTTAAAATTATAACGGTAAGAGGTAAATTCTAGCCATTTTCGGATGGGAGCTAGTGAAAAATGAATAGAAACCTGCCGAAAATAAAAGCATTTTTCTCAAAACTTGATTTAAGAAAGTTGATAAGATGACAATTATTCAAACGGTCATAGCCTGAGGACGAGTTTACAGCACTTTTGTGGGCTTGGGTCACTGGAGGGTCTATACCACCTCAGAAAATGAATGATTATGGCTCTGATTTAAAACGTACATCTGAAATTTATACACGCAACACCCGCCATCACAGAGTAAACGTGGTCTTACCTCTACTAAAAGGAAATAAGCAGTCTCACTCTACCGTTCTGCGATTAAAGACTGGGGTGCTCTTCCAGCTCATTTAAAATTATTCACGAACATTTCTACATTCAATTCACACATTAAAAAATATTCTAAACAGAACAGTACAGTACTTAATTGCAATTATTCTAGATTAATCGTTCCAATGGGTTAAATTTTGATCTTCGAACACTTTTTATAGGCCTATTCACATTTTCTGGGTGCTGTTTTTTGTTATTAGGCCTATGTACTTTTTTCAATTGTTCTTGATGTACCTTTCTAACTTTTTATGAATGTTAATTATGATGCAATTCAGTATTTGTATTTCAAATGTTAAGCTTTATTTGTATATCAGATTTTGATGTAAATTTTCACATTTTAAATATTATGATTTTATACGTATTTTTTTTATGTGCAATTTTGAACCCCTTTGGAAATGGGCTGGTTTGTGCATGTTTATCACTGAATAAATTCAATCAATCAATCAACGGCCGGAAATGACACTCTCAGACTAAAAAATTGAATATATTTTATTTATCTCCATTTAAAAAAAAATATTTTGACAAATTGAGGGAGAGGAGGCGGCCCGACTGGGCCCCTGAATTCGCCATTGTAGGCCTATAGATAGTTAAGAATTCGGTAGAAGTCAGCTGGCTAATACATTGCAAAACTCACACATGATGTTTTGTTAAAAGCCATTTGTTAAATTTTGATGATGCCAATCCACTTCATTATTATTATGCCTATTAATTCGTTTCTTTATTATATTAACAAGCATGAAATATTTTCCTGTCAAATGAGATTAGATCACAACATAAAAAGAGGCAAATCAAATCAAGAGTTTGAAGCCATTTATCTATATAAGCAAGTCATATCTATACAATGGAGAATTCAAGTGTTAAAGGCATTTGTTTAATTTTCATGATGCCAATCCAAATGATTATTATTAAAAACCTATTAATTTGTTTCTTTATAATATTAACAAGCAAGAAATATTGTCCTATCAAGTGACATTACCATCAGAACAGTAAACCAAAATCAATCAAATCAAATCAAGTGTTTATTGTCCAAATATAACGGAAAAGTGTACTGAAAATTCGTCTTAACACAAACACAAACAAAAAACCCTACCAACGAACAACAAATTGCACAATCATTCATAAACTGAAGTCAGATTAAAGAAACAAAAAATACAAATGACCTATTTACATTGATTAAAAAGTTTATAAAAATACAATAGACCTATATATCTACAAAGTTATTAATACAATTTACAAATTCAATAAGTTATCAGTGGTAGATCCAGAAATTCAAAATAGAGGGGGCCCGGGGAGGTTCTTTCACAGATGGAAGATCTATACCACCTCAGTTTCTACCACAATTTCCAATGAATCTCCGGACTCTCGTCCTCGACACCCCATTACTCTCCTGCGGCTCCTCCGACATAGTCCATCCCACTGCAATTGCTATTCGCTATCAAAGTACAATCGGCCTACTAGATATATACTATATAATGTAATAGACCACAACATGCAACAGCAAAATGTAATTTATTCAAACCTAAGTCAAAAATGTAGTCTATGGTTTAAATTCTTTTAAATCTCAGTTTTTGGCTGACGACTAATTCAATACAGTAGTTACAAATTTAAAAACGATGTAACGATGCCAAACAATTCAATACAAGTCATTTTCGACAGTCTTCAGGTATTTTGTTACATACCGTAACAACTGCCTAGGTTACATGCAATGCCCTTATTCAAGACTCTAGAATTAATTTCCTTACTAATAATATTAATAATATATAATAATGAAGATGATAAGAACCATAATGGTTAATTATTGTGAGTTTCCATATGTGTATGTGTG